AAAATATTTTTTCTTTTCAAAGTAGGCAGTTTTAATGCATTTGCACTGGTATGAAATTGCAAGTCAGTGGGTAAGAGCTGTACCTCAAGATGTGGTAGTTGTGGCTGATTGGGCTTGGTGTCTTTGATATCTGTAAGCAGAGGAGAGGTAAATGAAACTCCCTGAAGTCCATCATATAAGATAGATGGTACCAGCTTCTCCAGTGATTTTGAGGTTAGTGCTACTTTTATAGTGTCCTGGGTTTGGAAGTCATTTATGGGTTACAAATGGAATATATAGGATGTACCTCGGTATTGCCAACAAGATAAATAGAACCCTATTTGTATGTTAATTCTGCATACATTCTTTCTTCTTTTACAGTTACATACACTTATTTTGTCTTCTTAATTTCTTATTCTCTATTTACCTAGTTCTGTCAGTCCAGAGTGATTTTTCTGCTTTTACTATGTACTTTATACAAGCAGATCAAACTCAGGTTTTCAGAAATAAGTCAGTGTTTTCATAGCAGACCAAATAGGACTGGTCCTACAGGGAGTAGACCAGCAATCAAAATTAATACCTAGTTAATATATTCGTTTTGAAGGAAAGGTGAAGCATGAAAGTCTCAAAGTTGTGGCAATATTTAAGTCATAAGGTAACATATGATGTGCACTTTCAAGCAAATTCTGTGTAGGAAGATTGATTCCAAACACTACCCATGCCAATAGTAATTGTTCATATACCATGTGCCAGATACTCTTCTACATATTTTGCATCTATTTGCTAATTTAATTTTCACAAATCTATGAGACAAGCGCTATTATTGTCCTTAAGATACCTGAAATATGGCTAAATTACATACCTTGCTTAGTATCACGTAACTGTTAAGTGGGTAATCTGAATTTAAATTCTGGCAGTCTGTCTTAAGAGCCTTGAACTACTAAAGATTGTGCTTCCTGCCTTGTGAGGCAGGACTTAGCTTCACCCTGAAGGCCCTCCTGCTAGAGAGGGGCAGGCAGGAGCTGACACAGCACAGGGACAGTGCCTGATCACAGGGCAGTATTTCTGTGGTGTATAGACAGTAGAACATCTTAGCTAAGAATAGCGTAAAATTGTTTTTCAGGATTAATTTGGCAGTCACATTCTGAGCAGAAGCAATGTTTATAGTTGTGCTTAAAAATGACACACACAGAATGAGCAGATCTGTGTGATAAACATGGCCATAAGATAGTATCACAAATTCAGCATGTCCAAAACTGAATTCCTTTTTCCTACAAAATATGTTCATTTTCCCCTTGAATTCCTTCTCCTGATTTGTGACATTACCATTTTTCTTGCCCGTCAAGGCAGACTGGATGTGGGTTGTGTTTGTTTTCCTTATGTAATTTTATATTTCCCTGAGTTGTCTTTTCTCCACTGACACTGCTACTGTTTTAAGAGACAGTCAGAAGCTATTTTAGCTGGACTCCCTGACTGAAACCTGTCCACTACTTCTGATGCGCAGATCTGATCACATTTTCCTGCTGGCTTTCATGGTCTTACGGTGGCACTTTATCATAGCTGTGAAGATCTGTGAAGTTGTTGTTGCTGCACCCTCAGTTTTATCTTCACCTATTTTCCTGTGAGCCCTACATTTAAGTGATAGGAGGCTGTGGAGGCTGTGGGGCTCGCATCGGTGCCACCCTCTTGTATACCTGCTGCTTCCCTCCCTGGATCACTTTCGCTGCTTGTTAGCCGCTGTCATACTCCTGCAAACGCAGGTTCATTGTGCTGTCTGCTGCTTGCTGGTCTCTTTACCTTTTATAATGGCTCAGCCTTTTTCAAAATTCTATAACCACTCTGTTTTCTTTACAAGAGACTTTATTTTTGGACTAGAATACTTAGGTATGGTTAACTGGTAGATGTTTAGTTCAAACACCTTTTCCACACAAGCCTGTTAAAACTATTCAGAAGCAGGGATAAGGAATGATGTGCTAGGTATTTAGCTAGTTACTATTAGTTACTTCTTAGTCTAATGATTACTATCTTAAATTTAGTCTTCACTGTCTAAGAAGGTCTTGAGAACTGTCTGGCTTCACTACTGGCTTGTACAATCTTCTTAGCCTTTTCACTATGTTACAAATATCCTTTAACTGAAGATTACATTTGTAATATTAGCATTGACGTGTTTGGCTTTTAAATGTTTTCAGAAACAGAATTTGGCCTAAATGAAATGAACCTGAATAGTTTTCCTTTACAACTTTCCCCCAACCTATGATATGTTATACTATGAATGAAACCTTGTGTTAGTTATTTTACCTGTAGAAAACAAACAAATAGGGCCATATATTTCATTTTACACTTTGGAGGAAAGGGATTATACTTTACAAATACATCAGAGATCTATCAGAGTTCCATAGAAAAAAATTACCTGCAATCTCATTAAAGATGTTGAAATTGATTACTAGTAAGTGCTTCTGTTTGTATTAAAATCTCAGTGTTCTAAATATTACACATTTTTCTGTAAAAGCATTACTGCAACATTCACAAGTAACATCAAAATTAAAAACAAACAACAACAAAAAAAACATTTGCAGTGACGGGTCATTAGCACAGAACTTTGAGCTTAGCAAATTTGACTGTCTTCTCCAAAAGTTGACTACCTCAAATGATGACTATTTCAGCAAGTAACTTTAATCAGTAAGAATTATAGGTATAAAAGTTTTTTCTTTTACAGAAATTAATATATTTGTAATTGTATTAAAGTAAATTTTTAAATATGCTTTTGTAGTTACAAAATTTTAGTGCTTACTAATTGTAATGAAATTTGTTGTATACATTTCTGGTTAATTGTAGAGTTGTTTTTACTGTCTATTACAGTTTTGTCCCTTAAAAGGAATTCTAGTGTGGTAAAAGATGCAGAACAAGGTCGAGCTGTGGGCCTTTTGATGCTGTTTCGTGACTTACTGTGTTTGCATCTTCTAGTTCCTTAACCAGTAAAATAAAGAATAATAAAAATCTCTGTTGCCATCCTCCTCTGAAGAGATATTAGGACTAGTTTTTCCAAATGAAATGTTAGCAATAATAATTAAACATGTTTAATGCATTGTATTTTAATTGCTGCATAAAACTGATTTATTGACATATATGAAAATGAACAGAGTGGTAATACATCTTTTGTAAAAATATAAGGTCTTCAGTAATGTTTTCAACAGTAGGCTGAAAAAAACTTTCATAAAATATTTCAGAATTGATTTTTGATTAGTTTATTTCTACTTTTCAAACTAAATTTAATCAGTTGTAGAAAAATTTACTGCAGAACATTAATATACCTGTTTTCTAGACTAATTTTTCATGTTTTATATTTATACATTATGTTTAAAACTGTTACTTTCCCATAAACGTCATTGATGCAATGAAGTTATGTTTTATATTTGATGTAGTCTTACTTTCATAAATACTGTTCACATTGAAATACTTTTCAAAATTTAGGTCCAAGGGCTGGCCAGATAGCTCAGCAGACTAAAGTACTTGCATAGGTAGATGCAGGGACCTGGGTTCAATCCCCAGTGTGCTGTGCTGGCCCTGCCCCCAGGGCACTCTGAGAGGGCGACTGAGACTGTGTGGTGGTGTACGCCTGTAATCCCAGTGCTTGGGAGGCTAAAAACAGGATGATCACTGTGTAGCGTAATGAGACTCTGTACTAAAATACATTTAAAAAAATTAAATCCAAAGTATTATTGGCATTTATACATTGCTTTTTTGTTTTATTCAGTTTGTTTGACAAACATTTTGTGATTCTAATCTACTAGTAATATTATGGTTCTATAAAAAAAGACCACAATCTTTTTTAATGTTGTTCCTAATTTTATACACCTAAACTACAGATCAGTAACTTTACAGTTAGTTATCATTAATATTTAGTAGAGTATTAATATTTTAGTTTTGTTTTTTTTTTTCTTCTCTTTTTGGAGGACCTAAGGGTTGAACCCAGCCATGATAGTATTGCTTTTTAAAATGTGTCTTCAGAGAATGGATAAAAGAGGGCATTTGCTAATTCTATACTTAACCTTGATATTAGCTTTTAAATGATTAACATTTCTGTCCTATTAGACATCGTCACTTTTTTAAGTATAAAATTTAAGTGAATGAAGTTGCTTATGTTAAATAAATTATTTCTTATACTTGTATCAAGGCTTTATAGAGTTATGAATCATTAAATTCTTGATTAGTCTCATTTTAGGTGAAGTGGACCATCTTTCTATGTGTATTGAGATTGAATATATCAACAAATAATTTTGTATATGTCTGATGCTAGGGACTTAAGCAAATTAATGTAGTTATCAGCAGTTTCTAAAATAATCCTTTGAAGAAGCTAATTTTTATATTAAGGTGATTATTTTATAAGATTATTTAGCTTTTCTATCTTTGTTTAATGTTAGAATTAATATTTTAGGAGTCAGGCTTAAAAATTTTATAGTTAATTTTTGAGCAATGCTTATAAAAGTTTTTTAAGAAGATATATTCTAAATTGTAAATTATTTCTGTGACTTACTGCCTCCAGAGAAAGCTAAAGTATATATTGAAGTGCCCTTATCATTGAATCTCACAATAGATAAAATACTTACATCTGTGTTTTATGTTCTGTAATAGTGTGTGCATGCAAGTGCATGTGTGATGCATATACGTGTTTTAATTTTTAGGAAGTCAGATGTATTGTGATGTTAGGGATTAGACCTGCATTTTAAAAAATATAATTTTTAATAATGCATTATGTCCTTTATCTTCAATTGTCCCTATCAAAAACAATGTTTTTGTTCCTGTTTTTAGAGAAGAAAATGCAGTACATGTGTTCATTTATTTATCACATTTATAAATCTGTTTATTCTCATGTATTTTATCTTACAATATGTTCAGAGGTCGTTCACTATATAGGACAAAATGTACATTAAATTTATATTTTAGTTTGTTTAAGCACAGAAAACCCAGTTCATATTTTATCATGTAAGTATAATGTAATCAATACTTATTTTGTTTTCAAGATTAAAAAATGAAGCTCCCACTAAGGAACAAGAACCTGTATCTAAGGTAAAGGTGTATTATATTCATAAATTAACAGTTTATATACATTTGAAAATATTTGAATTTTTAAATTTTAAATTTCAAAATGCATACGTTAGTAGTTATTTGTATGTTATGAGGTAGAAAAAGTTGAGATTTAAAAGTTTTTCACCAAATATAAAATATCTTAACTTTTATTTTTCTTTTCAGTACCATGGATAGAACTCAGGACCTTGTGCTTGCCAGGCATGCGCTTAAAAAATCTAATTTTAAGTAAAATTACAAGGTGTTTTTGTTTTGACAAAGACTTCATCTTTTTAGTTGCCACTTAATTACATTAACTACAGATAATAGAGAAAAATTTTGAATTAAAAACCATGAAAGTAGTTGAATCTTAGCCATTTAACACTCCAGAAAGTATTTCCAGATGACTTAATATTTTGAAAGAGTGAAACTGTCCAAAGGTTTAATCTAATTTTTAAAATAGGAGTATTTTAAATGTACATTGTTTCGGCTGTCTTAAGTAGGTACTTTGAAAAGCGTGAGATCAGCTTTTGTCCTATACAGTGTGTAAGTGGAATCCAGGTAGAAGTAGCAGCGTTTTTCCAGGCAGCTTTTAGGTGATAGAGACTGTTCTTTTCCTTGAAAGATTTTTAACTACCAATAGGTTTTTAAATAGAAAGAGGGTCTTTTGTTATCCTTTCTTTGTGAGTGAAGTTAATCATTTGTGGTTTCCAGGGTTTGGTGTGCTTTTATTTAAGACGCTGAACTCTTGAACGTATTCACACACGTAGAGCTGTTTGCTGGCCTCCTAATGTCTGTGCACTCAGCAGCAGTACTCACCTTCAGTCCCGGGGGGAGATTTTGTGGGGTTTTTTCCTTACTGTTGTTATATATATTACGTTTACATATGTTATAAAGGCAGAGAATATAGTGTTAAAATTTTTGCTTAAGAAAACCTTTTTTTGCTTAGTTGTCTTTTGGAACCATTAAAAGCGTAAAAATCAATCTTTCATTTTCCTTTACTTTTATCATTTCCAGTAGTTTCCATCTCCTTACATAGCTCTGTTTCTGTCATATATTTTTTTATTTGAACTTTCTTTAATATACGGTATCCAGTGTTGCAAGACTATTAGTAATACTTTCAAGGCTTTTTGTTTAAAAATCTTTTGCATTTTTGAAAGGTATTTTTTGATTGACTTTTTTTTCTTATCCCCAGCTTAGAGAATTTTTTTCCTCTGGGCTTGCATATTTGTTGGCAAGCTGTCTTACTGTAATTACTGTCTAATCTAATCTAATCTATCTTTTTTCTTTGATTGCCCTTGAGATCTTATCTTTAATTCTCTTAAGTGTTTTGTTCATGTGTTCATTCGTGTGTTTATCTATTTGTGTATCTGTTTGCAGTTTTTATCCTAATTGGGATTTTCACTATTGTCCTTTATCTCATACTTTTGAAATTCCAGTTTCCTACATGCTGAACCACTCCATGTTAACCCTCTTCTTAAACACACTGATTCGGTTCTACCCACAACCTCCCACCATTGTATTTCATTTTGTATGTGTTCTAATGACCTCTCTTCAGTTTCACTGATTCATTTTTCAGTTGTGCTAGTGAACCTGTCAGAGGCAGTTTTCACTTCTGTCATGCTGAATTCATTTGTTTTTGTAGCTAGCATTTTATTGATTTCTTTTAGAGTAACCCTACTGAAGTTTTCATTCTGTTGTGCATGTGGTCTCCCTTTTCTTTCAAAGTGTGTAACACATTAATTGCAGCAAGCTAAAATTCTCTTTCTGGAAGCCTCAGTATCTGGGGCATGTCTGACTCTGGTTCTTTGTCTGCTGTCACTGGATTTGAAGGCCAGGCATTGTGTATAGGGTTGGGGTACATAGTGTGCATATCTGAGAGCGAGCACTTTTTCTTATGTTAGACCATTAGCATGGGGTTTGGGTCTTTAGTGTGGAGTTGACCTGGATTTTGGTTTCCCCACTGCCATGATTGTCTCAGGACACTGCCAGATTCAATTCTTTAGTAATTCATTGCCTTGAAGGTGAGAGCTACCTTGGTGCCAATGTCTTTCCTTGCTGTTCTTGGTCCATACCCAGCTTTGACTTTACCTGTGACACAGATTCATTTTTCTCTGTGTTCTTGCTCTTCCAGGTGCACTGGTGTGCTGTTGCTGTTCCCAGTGTTTGGGAGGTTGATGGTAGGTGGCAGGCTGTCCCTGAGCCTTGAGCATAGGGTTCTTTTCTTTTTCTTCCATCTGGCCAGTAATTCCTGTGCTTTTAGGGCAACAAGGCTTGCTTTTCACCTTTCTAAATATGAAAAGGTATAAACATGAAGGAAATCTATGAATCCAATGCTTAAAGCATCATCCTTTGTTTTACAGTAACATCAGATTCTTATTTTCCTGTGATTGCCCTCCTCATATTTGTTAAGTGAAACTAACATTTTCATATAAACACCATGGTTTTTAAATTAGTTTTTTGTTTAAAACAAATAAACTGGGCCTTGTGTATGCTTGTAATTCTAGCACTCTTGGAGGCTGTGTTAGAAGGATGTGAAATTCAAGACCCAAACTGGCAAGTTAGCAAAACACTATCTCCAAAAAAGGAAACAAATAAATAAAAGGACTAGGGATGTAGCTTGATATGAAGATAATGTGTTAAATCTTCAGTACTATAAAATAAATAACTTTTTATAAAACTTTATGCTAACATAAGAGAACCTGTACTGTAACATCCTGTAACTCAAGAGTGTCCCAAATTTTCTGATCAAGGAGATTTTGGGGCCACAGAGGAAAGTGATCGATGATATAGAGTGTGCCTAAGGAGAGTCACCTGGAGAGAAAAACGTTCTCTCAGGCTTTCACAGAGAGCAAATTGGTCAAGCATTGGCCATGACTCATCCACATGGCTGACACTGACAAAGGATCTGCAACCTGTGGTACAGGGTTACAGGATAAATCTTGAGGGTACATGACTGACCTTATCAGATACAAAAGTTACATTTCTTGTTACATAGGTCTTGCTTTGTCTTGGTCTTAACCATCCAGCAGAAAAGTGTAAAAATGAGGTACAAAACATAAAGCCATATTAATATGCTGAGCTGTAAAAGTTTCAAGTCAACGACTTCTGACATTGCCAGTCCTGAGGATAACCCACTACTATTATAGACTACTGGACTATGTTGGATTACTTTGCTGAATTCATGCACCTACAATATATGAATGGCAATGGAATGCCCATCTCTTGACAAAAGTAAAAAAGGGGCATATAAATGAAAGTCCATTTTGTAGTGGAAAAAAAAAAATATATATATATATGTATATATATATATATATACATATATATATACACACACACAAAATAGCATAGCTATACAGCTACTTTCTCTTAGTTCATTGAGAAAAAAGTTTTGAACTAATTGTGTTTAGACAAAATGTCATGTCTATATCTTGTACTATGAATACTATAAAGACCACAATATGCAATGTATTAATTATTGTAACTGTCCTACTAACCTGTTTTAAAAATCTCATTGCTACTTCTTTCTTAATAAAATTAATATAAAAGAGTTTATGCTAAAAATTAGAAGTCCATAAGCAAATATAAAAGAAGCCCTATGGAATGGAAGGCCACAAGAAGCAGTTTTGGTCCATGTAGTTCTTTTAAGCATAATTATGATATGGATGGTCCACTTGAATGGATTCAAGTGTTTATATGATGTGTACGTGTGACATGGTGGACAGCTTGTACTGATCTTCAAGATTTGGATCAGATGCATTATTACCAAATCAGTATTGTCATGTCTGCTAATATTTTCCTCAACCCCCCTAATTTTTTTATATCTTTACATTTCCTCTTTGAACATTAATTCCTGTTCCTATTCCAGATTGCCTCTTTTGGTATGATATATATTCTATACTACAGCATTCTGCTTTTCTTCCTAGGTAACTAACTGTTCCCCTCCAGTATTATTAATGTAGTTGCATTATAAGAAAATAGGTAAGAAAGATTATGTTGATAGATATAGTACCTGCCTTTCTCCTTCTTAGTTACTACCTTAACTACTAGGGAACACCTAGTAGTATGTTTTAGGAATCCTTTGCTTGAGAACAGAGATTAATAAAGTTCTTTTCCTGTCTTTCCTCAAGGTGATTTCTTAATTCCAAGCATACACATAGATATGCAGAATAGAGTTTTGCTGTTATTTCGTTATGAATATGCAGCTTAGCTCTAGTCTCTATTCCTATGAGACTATATAGAGTCACTCATTTAAAAAAAAAATTCTAATGTTATGTGGTGGCAAAGCCTGTAATCCCAGCACTCAGGGGACTGAGGCAGAAGGGTCCTGAATTCCCCTAAAACAACCCTGACCATCATAGCTATCCTACCCTTGTATCTCTAACCTTATAGGCTTAGGAAATTTTAAATGACTTTTATATTTTGAATTTTTAAGTTAAATTGTTTGCTATAAATACATCTGATTCACATAAACTTAGCAGTTAAATAATCTTGATAGTTTCATCTGAAATAGTTTAATTTGTAACATAAAATCAACATTGTGTTTAAAACTAAATATACAGGGTGTGATTGAAAAGTACAATGAATGTATAAATTTTAAAGATACATTACAGTACAAGACATACTGCCATTATTCTTTCTCAGAATATTCCCCTATCCTTAAAACCTCTTATCCGTGTTGTTCTTGCCATTTTTAGAAGCAGCTCTAGAAGTCCTTTAGTTGCACTGTCACAGTCATCTCAGTGTTCTTAATCAGTTTTTGATTTATCTTTCATGGTCATTTTTATTTGGGGAGAAAGCCAAAAGTTATACAGTGCCTGATGCAGTGAACAGGGTGGGTGAAGATGCTATGATGGTTTTATGAGCCCACTTTTCCATGGGATGGCACTGGATGGCAACATTCACGAAAGAGAAAGCATTTGCACTTTGGAGATTTGTCCTTGGGGGAAGGGTTTTTGTTGTTGTTGTTATGTATTTGGCACAGGGTCTCACTATGCGGCTTGAACTCCTAGTAATCCTCCTGTTTTCAGCTTCTCCAGTGCTGGAATTACAGGCATGTGCCACCATTCCCAGTCTTGGTGGCTCAGCGCGCCGGGGCCAGGACCAGTGCGGCATGTGGGGCCAGGAATCAGACCCCGGTCACCCTGGTCCCTGCACTTGCTTAAGCAGGCATTTATTCTGCTGCACTATCTCTCTGCCTCTGGGAACAGGGTTTTGGATTATCTCTTCAATGATTTTTACTTCATTTCTAGCTCTTTCTTTTTCTATCTCACTCTGTTCCCCTCCTTTCCTCTCTTTTTTTCCTCCCTCTTTTTCTCCTACTGGATTTCTTACATTCAGTTCTTTTTATTGTATGTTCCTTCCTTGCATACTTACTTTAGCTGCCATACTTGTAATTAACATTGTATTCTCCAGTTCTGTTTTCATAAGTTTTATTTTTGTTTAATAGCTGCAATAACATACTTCTGGGGATATTACATAAAGAATTTTTTCTGGTTCTAGCAATTCCTCTTAAATATCTAAGCCTCTTTGTTTCCTGTTATTTATTTTGGTCTTTCTCCTGTTAAAGGGTATCTTTATGTGTATGATGATGAGTACCCTTACATAGAATGGGACTGAAAAAGTTTATTGGAAGCCCTGTGTGTTTGAATGGGGACAGGGCAGCCTTGTGTAGCCATGTAGGTTGTGCACTGCAGAACTGCAAAGGGCACTACTTACATGTATCCTTTTATACTGTTAAAAATAATTAATATTTACTATGTTAAAAATCAGAGAAGGAAAGTCCAGAATTACCTATTGACTTAGTAACCTGTTACTGAAGAGCAATTTCTAAAGCAAAAGAAATTCAGTGGACGGAATAGCATTCCTTTGTACTTGTCTGTCTTTTTAATCTCTCACGCAGTAGATGGTGCTGGATATTCTTGTTATATAGGTTGATTGACATAGCTGAAAATATCTAGCCTCACCAGTACGTTAGCAGTCTTTGCAGCCAATTCTGTTTCCTTTGCTGCTGTGCCCAAACTAGATAAATGGAAGTCTCTTTGCTTTAATGTGGAATATCGCTGTATTGCTGAAGTTTTAGCACATTGTACATCAAAATCTATTAGTCCATTTCATATTTTGAACAGATTTTTTTTATCCATACATGATGTTATAAAAGCATTTGAAAAATAATGGATTTAATTTGGAAATATAGATCTTCTAAATTTTGACGTGTTGGATTATATAATACTAGGTAATTTCATTCATTAATATTAACCTTAATCTCATCAATGATGGATATGAGTTCTCAAAAAATGTGATTTTTTGCTTTGTTATCCAAAGAAAATGCTGTCAGGTGCTTTCCATGACATACTCTGTTAATTTTCAAGAAAATGTCTAACTAGGCACCCAAATCTAAATACTCGTACTGTGACAGTTCTTTTTTAAACTACAAGGAGTGCTCCATGAGAAACTAAGTTCATCTCACACCTCAGTCACAGACCCTGGTGTTGTGGTACGCAGCATCAGTGCTTTGCGCATGCTTTTTAACCTCCTTGTGCAGAATATTAAGAAGATAATGAGTTTGAGCCAGGGTTGTGGCTCAGCAGCATAAGCGCCTGCCTGGCAAGTGCAAGATCCTGAGTTCAATCCCAAGTATCACAAAAAAAGACGTGAGTTTGAAGATAGATGTTTAACAAAATTAGTTTCTATAGCTTGTGTGGGAGGGTAAAGAATGCAGTCATTACTGACACAGTTTAGGGTTGCTGCCATTGTCTCAATTTGCATTAATGTGTCAGCATTTTTATTTCCCACTGTTTTTATACCAACAGTTACGACATTACCTGCCTCCTGAACGTGGCTTGGATTCCCCAGGTGTATGTGAATTACACTTTTTTTTTAAAATTACACTTTTGAAACCTGTTGATGTGAATTACAATGTGAACATTGCTCCCTGGATTTGTGCACTGTACAATCTATACGGGTAACTTTTACACTATAATACAGCAAAATCAGATGGTGAGCTGATTTCTTTGGTGAAGAGAATGCTCTCAAAGTTACTACAAGAATTCTTTCTTTGGGACTGATGATTTTCTTCAAAGAGAAATCTAAATTCTAACTGGGGTAGTAGCTGGGGAGTGAGTCCTCTGACATTCTGGGACTCAGGTGAGAATAGAGACTGGAGGTATCTCGCTGTTTAGGGTTGTGGACTTTGAGCCCTCCTGTTTTCCGTCAGCACGTATGCCCGCCTTTTGCTGTTGCTGGTCTTGCCTGGTGTACAGTGTGTCTACTTTGCTTGACTCACTTTTAACCTCTGTGGTTATGAAAGAGCACATAGATTTTCCAGCCGTCCTTGTCCTTCATTTTTGCCTTTTATATACTAGATATTGTACTGGGTTCCTCGAAATGCAAGATTTCTTAGGTTCTTCTGACAAACTTGACTCCTACCTGTCCTACTGCCGAGGGCTCACTGCACACCCTGCCATGCTGTGGAGTCGTGCCCCACTCTCCCAGACACTTCCACCTTCACAAATTCATTGTAATTACCTGAGTTCGTTGGTGTGCTTTGGTGTATTCTTAGTCCTTGTGAGTAAATCTGTTATTGCTTTGCCCTCATTTTAGCAGATTTTAGGAGAATAAGGAGACAGATGATAAACGCTTACTTTCACAGACGGCTAGAGTTGTTAAAAAAATAGGCCCAGATTTGAATTTGTACCAGTTATTGTTGTATTGCCCTGGGTTTTTACATAGCCCACTTATTTCTCATTTGTAAGTATTCAATGTAAAGTTTTTAACAATGTTCTGTACATTCTGTTTAGTCAATATCTGGTAATGGTTATAAAATGTCAGTGTAGCTTCTGGCATACTGGTGTTTCACTCTGTTTTTTTCCTCTGTAAACATTTGAAATAATCAAAATATTTCTTTTTGTGTATTGACAGTGAAAAGGTTATCATGATTCCAGTATGGAATCAAAATTTCAGAAATGATTTTTCTAATTGTCTGTCCTATCATATAAAATATTGTGTATATATCTTATTGAAATTCAAGTTGCATTTTACTACTTTCTATTCAAGTAATTATAATTATGGTACTGTTTGAAAGAATTCAGGAAAATAGGTATTGCTATAACTGCCTCTTGGCTTGGATTCAGAAACTTTTGGTACAGTGAAATTCTTGAGAATTTAAATATTTTTGAAACCTGCTTTTAATTATGAGAATTATTCTGTGCTTTAGATTAAAACTTTTTCTTTGGTGTGTTATATTATATACTTCTTTTATTTAGAAATTTAATGTAATTTAAGTGTATAATATAGTTTGAGGATAAAACAGAAATACTGTTAATCATTTCAGGAAATTGTAAGAAGTAATATAGCTGAAGGAGAAACCAAAAAATCAGATGCCAAAAGGTAAATATAAGGAATCTTTTGAAATTGTAGTATATTAAATAATGCTTGACATGTATTACTTTATAGTGATGAAAGTTATTTAAATTTTATACATATGTGAAATTGTTTTTAATAGTGACTTTAATGTTTTTAGTAGTGACTTTAATTAAAATCAAATTCTGAAATTTTAGTCTGACAAAAGTATTCAGACTGTTGATTTTTAATATCTTTTTTACATCTTTAGAGTATTTTATAAGTTGTTAATTTTTAAAATGTTAAAAACTGTTAATTATCCCAGTTAAATGGATATAATTGCAATATGCTGCAAATTATAATATTGGGACAATTATTGCTAATAGGTAATCTTAAACTGTTTTAAGTGTTTTCATAAAGCTATATGGAAGGATCTAAACTTAAAGTGTCAGAATTCAAGAATTGATTTTAAAAGTTTTGATGCATAGGTAGAGCTCTAAGAAACACAACATATTCACAACCCTTTTTGAAAAGACAAAAGAGAATCCCAGCATTCTAAATAGAGCTTAACTCAAAAGATAGATCATTTTATTTTTTTAGTCTTTAAGTGCTTCCCCATTTTTATTTTTATAGTTTATTTTAGAGTAGGTTGCTTATCAGTTAGTTGAGATTAATTCATCTCTTGCTCTTCTAGATAAATTACTGAGCAACCATCAAAATGTTTCTTGAGCTTCACTAATAAAGTTATATAGCCCTTTCCTCACCTAGAATTTTTCCTAGATTTCTTGAGGGATGTGTATTAAATTCACCGAGAGTTAGGACAAGCAGACTGGTGATTTTTATACTTCACATTTTCTGTACGTTTGTTCAATATGATCTGGAAAAGATAAAAATCAAGAGTATTTCCCTTTCAGATACTTCCTACTTGTCCAGAGCAACTCTTTCTGTCTGCTTTTCTTTCTCCTTTCCCTACCTTCAGATAAATCTTCTGCTTTATTTTAAAAAAAAGAACAAAAATGATAGACATTTGAAATGAGGAAAAAATAAGGTTCAGAAAAATGAGCTAAAAATGATCAGAATTAATGAGTATAAATTAAAGTGATTTGATATAAAATCTAAATCTTTCTGATAGACCAGTAGCATATGGTTACAAATTATAATGAGTAAAAAGTGTCTTCATAATAGTAATAAAAATGAGAACTATGCATAAAGAAAAACCAACATTTACTGAGATAATTTGTGTGATCGATAATTTTCCAAATTAGTGTAAAGGTTAGTCAGTAGAACAAAGTAAATCCCAGAGAAATAGCCTTATACATATAGTAATTTAAAAATGATAAATGGCCATTTGAAAATGTTGCTAGAGCCTAACTAAATTCCAAGTAGATTAAGTATATGAAGTAGGCATATGTGAGCATATATTTTATTAAAATGAATATCCTGAAAGCTAAGGGGTTGCAAATTCTAGAAATCTTTGGTTTCTACTATTTTATGATTCACTAGTTTCTATTCCTAAAATAAGCATTAATATCCATAAATATGTGTGTGTGCAAACATATGCATGCATTCATATGTTTGCGTATGCTTTTAAGGCATGTGTTTTTGTTTTTTAAAAATAGGAAATTAAAAATTAGGGAAATATTTATGAATGCTTCTTAAGCACAAGAGAATATTTAAAGTGTAAAAGAAAATAGGGTTTTTCCAAATATATTTTTTAGATACTCTTACAAATCAGTAAGGACACTTAAATTTTAAGTAAAATCATGAACGAAATTTGCACAGATGAAAGTAACAGCCAGCTGCCCACTCAGCAGACTCCTGATGCTGCCTCCTCTGCTGAGGAGAGGGCATCCTGTTAACCATTGCTCCCTTTTCTTTCTTTTTTTCCTTCATTAAAAGTACATTTACTAAAAATTTACACAGTGCAATTCATCCTTTTGGTGTATAATTCTGAGTTTTAACAGATGCATACACTTAGGTAATTATGACCAACATACAGAAAATTTCCATTACTAAAACAAACCCCTTGTGCTACCACTTTGTAGTCCCCTTTCAACAGCAGGTGTGCACTTTATCCTTTCTTGGGGCATGTTTTTATTTTCATAGTGTTCAAATACACTTTTTAATGATTGAATATTAATGGCTTTCTTTTCCAGTAAGCAAGATGAGGGCTCATCAGAAGATAAAAGTAGATGTGATGCAGATTTACTTGAAGATTCATCACCAACACAAAAGAAAGAAAGCTTAAGCATTTCAGATAAAGAAAATGATGTCTGTCTAGAAGACCAGGAAACTAGCTCAAAGAAAATATTTAGTTGCAGTTCAAACATTAGTGCAAGTAAAGGGGAAAAGGAAAAAGAAATCCAGCAAGTTGGTCAGGAAATGCAATTGAAGATGGGCCAGTGTTCAGAAAATACAGCTTCATGTGATCAGGTTGAAGATCACAACTCCAGTGAGGCTAAGTTTTCTTCAAAGAATGTTAAGGATTTGCCGTTAATGTCACGTGATGTTAGCATTGATCAGTTTTTGAGAAAAAGAGATGAACCTGACTGTGTTAGTTCTGATGTGAGTGAGCAAGGTAGTGTTCATTTGGAACCTTTGACACCGTCAGAGGTACTTGAGTATGAAGCCACAGAGATTCTTCAGAAAGGTAGCAGTGATCTCCCAGCAAAGACTGATAAAGTAGTGTCTGATCAAACAGATGACGCTCCTGGGGAAAGTAGTCCGAGCACAACAGAGACGACAGCACACATGGCAGATGAGAAGGAAAGAAGTTAGGTTATGTAGCCACTCACAGTGCACCAACAGGAAGCACACTTGGAACTAGTGCTCTGGGTGGGCACACTCGTGCTCTGCTGGAGGCAGAAGTAGGAAGACGCGAGGGAATCATTCATACTTTGCCTGTATGTGCAATCTAGGTTTTTAAAGAAATCAACTAACCAACAATAGCATGATTAGTATGGCTTTCCAAGTTCTACAGAAATGGTTAGGATTTTAACAAAGGCTTCAGTTTGTGATCAGAAGTTCTCATTTAAATTTTTGAGGAAATGAGACTTGATTGCTGATAGGATAAGAATATTAGCTATGTTAGTAAACCTTTTAAAACTTCCATCAGTCCTAAGCTTAAAGTCCTGTTACCTATGTATCTTTTTTAAATAACTTAAAGGAAGTGATTTGGAAACTGTATGGCTTTTTGGAATAAACTGTTTAGGGGGTGGCTGATTGGCATTGTCAGTGAAGTCTTAGACTGGTGCTGGTGATGGAGCACGTGGATGGATGTCACTTGGAATTGAATGTGACATCCCAGGCTGACAGAAGTACGTGAACAGAATATTTGAGTCTCTGTGCCTCCATACAAGTGTTAGCCTGCTGGGCTGTAAGCTTACCTTTAATCACACTTTCAGTGAAAGTGAAATTATTGAAGTATAAACTTGTAATTGTGCTTTTGGTCAGTGTGTAAACTGCAGAAATCCCTCATTGTACTAGTTGTATAAAGAAAACCCCATTTTTGAAACTGTTAGTTACTATGCTTTTAATGTTTTAATGATTATCTCTAAAACTAGACCCATAAAAGTGGTCTGAAAGCCAAACCAAAGTATGGTATAATGTAGATATTGTAAAGCAGTAAACTGAAAACATGCTTTGGCATGTATTCAGCCAAATTTAAGTGACTTTTCTGTGATTATATGATAGAAACTTTAAATGGGACCTAAAGCAGTGATGTAAAAAAATTGGTTTAGGGAGTTTAGCGTAATTTATGTAGAAGTTAACTGCTAAGTTTTTTTTTCAGGTTTTTTTAAAATCATCTAGGATATAATAGATACAGAAGTGAATCATATGAATAGTAGTTTGCTTTAAAGTTCTAATAACTTTTATTTAAAATGTTACATTTAAAAAATACTACATTTTTATTTCGTAAAATGTGCTTTGAATTCTTAAAATTGTGTTTCACTGAATATTAAGTGTTTTCAATGGGTATTAACATTCTGCTGTATATACTAGTTTTTGAGTATTTGCAATAAAAATTTGTCCCTGAACAATTGTATTTTTCAGATCACTGCCTGACCTAAATTAACTTTAATACTTTAGACATTGTATACTTGTTTAAAGAAATTTCTTGTTAAAATTAATACAATTTTATTCTGTATTCTTTAGCTGCTATCTGACTTATTTTAAATTAGAGCTAAAATATGGGGGTAGTATCCCTAATATTTATAGAGAATAATTGCTTTATACTTTCACTTCAGAGAAAAAAGGTTAATATTGTACTTTTTTAAACTATACAGAAGCTTAAAGATGTTAAATAGCTAAAAATATAATTGTATTTATTTTATTGACTGTTTGAGGGAGACAATATTTTCATCCTTCCTGCTCCCAAGAAAAGGAGACCCATTAGGTGTCATCCTTCCCTTGTTGAAACACATATACATCAGGGAAAATTTTTGGAGTTATATAAGCCTGTGAAGAACAGGGAGTAGGAAAAAAATAACCTGACTATATAGGGATAATTTTCTGAATTTAATTAAATTTATAGTAAAGCCTGTCACTTTAGGTCTCTCAAGTACTTTGCAAAAGTAAGTCTAAGTGAAACCGGAATCCCGTTTGAGGTTTGGGTAATTTTTACCTTTTGGCTCCTTGTGTCTTTATAGGGTTATAGTATACAAAGTAGCTGATCCAAAACTGTACCTGTCTATCAGTGAGAAAAGGGACCTGTACCAGACTGTAAATCTTTCACTGAGAACAATCTGACAATAAAAAGAAAACAAACAAAAATGATGAAATAAGCATTGTACTTGTTAACTGCTGTTGGTTTACATCTTGAGACAAGCACCAGTCAGGAACTACCTGTAGCAATTCAGGTATGCACCCCAAGTCTCTGAGTAACAGTGGGGAGTGAGTGGCATGCCTTTCTCTGTAGTAAATTCTTGTGGGCTTTGTCATTGCAGTTACTCAGATCCTGACAGCTGGTGTGTGGGTGGGAGTAGTAATATGTTAATAATGGTTCTATTTGTGTTCCAGTAAAACTTTGTTTACAAAGTTGGCTGTAAACCAACTTGGCTGTTGGCTGGATTTGGCTCCTGAACCACAGCTTGGTTACCCCTGCCCTAGAGTGCTTAGATATGAGGGTGCAGGTCAGCTATGCATGCTAATGACCTTTGTCTGTAAATGTCCAAAGGCCAAGTATGGTGTATGCCTGTAATCGCAGCACGCAGGAAGCTGAAGCAGGATGATGCCTGGGAGTTCAAGGACAGCCTGGCCTACGTAGTGAATTCAAGATCAATCTGAACTATATAGCTGAACCGTGTCTCAAAAAACAAAAACAAAACAGCTAATTTTTTTCCATCAGTATAAATGTTTTATTCAATTAAAGGCAGCAGAAATACAAAATAAGAGGCTTTGATATTTATAAAGACAATGAAAAATCCCACCCTATTAATTTTCAGACCTTCAGAATCTCAAGCTTTCTGTTTGGGTGGATTCTTATGTAAACAGCTAGGAACTGACTCGACACCCTTTCTTGGCAACTCACCTTTTCTGAATGCTGTGTAACTGTTTTCAGTACCTCAGATTAGCCACTGCAGTTTGGGTTTTGCTTAGTAGACACATAAGAGACAAGGATGATTTTGCAAACAATCAAGAATTTATCACAATGGTTTTATACAGGACTGATGGGAAAAAAGTTTTGTTACCCAGTTGACCCACCTCCATACATTGATGGAATTCAAATTCACAGCCCACGCTGTTTGACTGAGATAAAGACCACACCTGGGACCCAGAGAGCTAATTTTCAATAGCTTGTTTAAAGTATCACAAAATCACCTTCTTTATTTAAAAGAATATACTAAGCATAATGCAGTCTTCATTGATGGTATATCTTCATGGAGATTCTTAGAAGCTGTGCCAGATATTAAGGGCCTAAATGACTGCTGACTACACGTTCCCATGGGTTTTGATTTCTGGAAAATATCCCAGGTACTTTGGAGTCATTTGACATCCAAAAATAGACCAAAAACATCAACTGAATTACATAGCAACTTCAACCACACTTTAAAATTTACCTTTTCCTCTCTAAAGGGAAGTGTGTCATTTGGGGCCAGCAAGATAGCTCAGCAGACTAAGTGCCTGCTTAGGTAAACGCAGGAACCAAAGTTCAATCCCCAGCACCACGTGCCGTGCCAGCCTTGAGACCGGGTGTGATCCACAAGACTGGGTGTGATGGTGCACACCTGTAATCTCAGCACTGGGAAAGCTGAAACAGGAGGATCAATGCAAGTCCAAGCTGCGTAGTGAGACCCTGTACCAAATACATTTAAAAAACAAAAAGAGTATGTTGTTTGTGTAGAGTTTAGGAATAGTATAGTTTTAAACTTGTGAAATACTTAAATTTTTACTATTGTATCAGGGTATTTTAATTGCTTTCTGTTAAGGGCTAGCAGACTATGACCCCTGGCTGGCTACTTGTTTTTATAAACAAAATTGTATTGGAAGAGCCATGCATTTGTTTACATATTGTCCGATGCATTGCATATTTGTATACAGTCCAGTTGTGTGTGAAAGAGACCATATGTTTTACAGTCTGGCCCTTTCAACAAAAGTCTTCCCCTGCTCTGTATTTTCTACAAACATATCATACTTACAAAACATTCTTTTCTTTTCACTATTATAAATATTGCAGTGAAAATCTTGGTTCAGGAAGTTTGGTCTGTATTTTTTACACATGTACTAGAATTCTAAGTGTGTACTTTATGAAATTGAGTATTCAATTTTAAATCTCAATCCATGCTTTATCAAATTAATATGGGTATATAAAATATCAAAACAATACATGTAAGATTTTAGAGGAAAAATTATTCTCCAATTACAGTACATACGGAAAGAGATTTTTGTCCCATCATAAACTTTTTTTTTTTTTTTTTTTTGGTGGAACCTGGTATTGAACTCAGGACCTTGTGCTTGCCAGGGAAACACTCTACTGAGCCATCTTCCCAGACCCATAAACTCTTAAAAATCGATTTCTTCATCTAGCATTTTTTCAACTCTTGCAAATCAGTCCCCCCCCTTTTTTTTTAATGTAATGTGATTTTCATTCCTGCTGTTCACCAAATATTTCTCTTGTGTGACCCGTGACTCATTCTGGTGAGTGAGTTGTGGGTAAAAGGTTATTCCAGCTTAGAGCACTTAGGTTTTCATGTGAGCATCCTTAGCTCTCTTTTCTCTTTGGCATGGTGACATCACATTTGAGATGGTGGTTGCCCTAGCAGGCTGCATTGCTAAGTGACTACTACCAAATGAACATAACTGGGTTTATTCACATGGACAAGTGAGGAAGAAATAAGCATTTTGTTACAAACTACCTTAGCTAGGGAATTTTTGTTTTTGCAGCATAACCTATCTTGACCAGAACAGAATTAATCCTGAAAGCAGAGTGCTGCCATTAAAAACAAAACACACCTGTACCCCCAGCATTTGGGAGGCTGAAGCAGGAGGATTGTTGTGAGTTCAAGACCAGCCTGGGCCACAAAATGAGCTCAAGGTCAGCTGCATAGTAAGAATCTGTCTCAAAACGACAAAAAGCAGACAAAGTAAACTGCCTATTACAGTGGTGTGGGTGATAGATGGTAATGCCACATGAAGTGGCGTATGTTCTACCACAGTGAAGATGTGATACACTCGCCTATATTTGGGAGACAGTGTATTTAATGGACATTATCTTTGTGTTAGATTTTAGATATCAGAATGTTACTCACATTTGATTACTGTATTAGCTGCACGTGCAAGATATTTTAGGAAAGAAAATGAACTCAGATGAAAAATGGAGACAAAAGAAACTAGAAAAAGTCTGGAAATTCCAGTACTCACAAGATTCTATTAGAGGAGGCAATAATTCTCAACTAGTAAAAGGAGAAGCCCTGTAGGCAACAAATTTAGTTAAGTCAACAACATGGCCATGACAGCAATTGATAAAACTTCTAACTAGGTTAAAAGAGACCCATCGTATTTCTCATGGAAGAATTTCTTCCAGCATTTCTTGAGGAATTTATATATTTTCAGAGTCTCAAGACAAGCCAGCCACAAAATTTTTGGGACAAGACATAGTATTACAACTGTCCCTTAAGATTAAAGCTTGGTGATCAACTTAGAATTATTACTTTTCAAAGGAATCCATTGAAATTATACCCAAAAACAAGAGTAGGGAATGCTGGCATGTAGAGTTGCAAGGTAAGGTAAACATTTCTAGAGAAGAGGAGCACTGAACTGGTCACATTCTGATCGTTCTAACTTGGAGCTATCGCTGTGTCCTAAGTACATGTTTCTGCCACTTCTGCTAATGGTGAGTCTAACTTGGAAAGTCAGTATTAATAGGTTTATATGAATGTTGTACTTTATTCAAATCCTGTCAGTGGTGTTCAGGGAAATAAGACATTTTGGAAGCGAAACAAGCCCTTAAATTGGCAGTTGACCTGTGGCTCTGTAGTGCTGGTAATCTTCCTACAAGATCCAGGTACTACTTGATGCAGGTACTACCAAGCATGGTGGTGCTTCCAGTGCTTGGTTATTGTCCAGGGCTGCTGTTCCTTGCAAATACTTTGGGAAATGCAAAGAAAAGAGGTAAATTTTGTGGCACATTCAGAACACTAATGAGAAGTTCACCCAAACTGAAATTAATAAATTTAATCAGTTTTGACAGCAAGATCAAATATTCTCATCATTAGAAAAGGGAAGCATCGTCCATGAAACAACATGTAACCTAATGGTAATTTGGAGATGTTTTAGACATACCCTTAGTGACTCAACTATATTAATGTAAAAGAAGGAATATTTTTGTATTTGAAATATTTGTAAAAGTAAAGAGTACTATTATGCAGGGTACCTAATTTTTTGTGTGCTTTAACATTTCATTTTAAGAATAGCTAAAGTATAGTATTTCACATTTTCAAAATGATTTATTTTGCGCTTATGTTACCATTGTCTTCATTTTATCAGATATCTATATGAGGTAGAAGTATTGGTATTGAAATATCTTGTCATAATATATTGGTTCAAAATGATAATAAATTAAGTATTTATACATCTTACCAGAAAATTTCTGGAACATTTAATGTAACTCAAAAAAAAAAAAAAAAGATTCATATAGTCACAGTTATCTGGGGGCTGGGGAGATAGCACAGTAGAATAAGCAAGGGCCTGAGTTCAATCCCTGGTTCCATCAAAAACAAACCAAAAAACTTACTTAAAACTATATTAAGTATAATGTTACGAAAAACAAAGAATGTCATTTTGTGTATTTGGGAATTCCTAGAAATGTTAACTTTTTATTCCCATATTCCAAATGTCATCTTTCAGAAATTTGGAAGCCCCAGTACCCAGTCAGATAAGTTCAGTAGGAAAGAGTAAAGGATCAGCCCTCATCCAGTACCCCTAGCCTCCTGGTGCTCAGTTAAGTATGGGAGGACTTGGGAAGGCACATCTTTGAAAA